CCACAAAAAAACAAAACACTAGTCCTTTAATGATACACAGTCAAACCAGCAGATCTGATATTCACCTGACACTGCCTATAAATTGTGGGACTTGTTATATGTTTGGAAGATTTTAATATAAAAAGGGGAAAAAAAGAGGTAGTAATCCATCATATGTGGTAACTTTGTAGATAATCCACTCAAACACATAAAGATACAGAAATTACAGCATTGCAGATTTAAGTAAAAGATGCTCATTTGCAAATTCATAAGTACATTTTAAGGATTGTACAGTTTATATATGTTAATCTGTGTTTGTGTAGCAATGTTAAAATACATCAAATGTTTGCAACTGGGAATAAATCCTGACACAGTGATAAAACTAAAAGAACAAATGACAAATGCTTATGTAATCTCATATTTTCAAAGGCTGATTTATCCTTAAAACCTGCTCAGAATTTGACAAAATGTCAGAATGTAAACACATTTTTTCAAAATGTCACATCAACTTTTGCTGAAGAAGAAAACAACATAATATTAGCCTATTTTCTTCAGTAGAATGCCAGTTTGATCATTATGCCTCCTGCTTTCTTTGGCATATAAAAAGCTCTTCTTTGTTGCTGTGAGCGATCACACAAATGTATTTAAGTAGGGAACATGTTTGCTATTGCTTTCACTTACCTGCTTTGAAGAAAGCAGGAAACAGTAATTTTAGCTATTTTTACCAGTTCTTCCATGGAATGGCGATAAGGATGGGTGTGCTGCGTGGAGTTAGTAGATCAGAAACACATGGAGAATGTTACAACACCTCTTTTTTGATTTAAGTTATTTATGTTATATTTTTTACAAAAAACACACACTTTCCTAAAGATACACTGTGTCTAGAACAGGCAGTTCTGTTTATTTGATGTCAAATTCAAATTTTATATTTCATTAAAAAGTATATAAATGTGTGAAACAAAAAGTCTTAAGTTACATATGTTACATAAATTGTGTAAGTTACACAAGTAACGTTACTTAAATTACGTAAGTCAACTGACTTACGTAGTTATTTTAACCCAAACCATGAATTTTTCCTAACTCCAAACAAGTAATTTTGCTGTCTAAACCTAAAGAACAACTTTAACAACATGTCGTTTCAAAATGGCGATGTTTTGCAATGTTAATGTTTTATTTTGAAAGTCTTACCGTATATTGCATATGTATTTGCTAATTTGACCGCGGAGCCCTAAACGTTGAAAAGTGATGCTAATTGGATACCCAGGGCATTAATAAGTGATGTCAAGGGGTCTTGACCAAGCGTCAATATGTGTGAGTTTTTCTTTTAACTCTCCATCTTCTTTTTCTGTAATTTTTCTTTATTCTTCCTGTCCATTAGCCTCTAGCCTTAATCTAAACATCATTTACCATCCACTCCGCTATACATGACACCCTCTATATCTTATCAGTCTCTATCTCATCCTTTTATTCCTGTCATTCACTATCTCCCACTATCCGGCCGTCCTGCCTTTTCTCCCAAACATCCATTAATTCCATCGTCTGGTCTATCTAAACAGCACATCAAGCCCCTCAATTCAGCTCTAGGTATTTTTCTCTACCAATCTTTTCTTCATTGTCATCTGTCCCTGCCTCCTTTCCCTTCCTCCTTCTGCTCCTCCTCCTCTACTTACTGACTCCATATAATACCATCTATTCTGAGGCTGGATGTTAAATACCACCAAGTCATCTAACAATTATCCCCATATTATATTCACAAAGGCCCTCTTCTTCTAGATAGGGAATTTTGTGTTTTGCAGAAACCTGTAATTTATCATGTGAAGCTTGTAATGAAGGATGGTCTTTCCCTTATTTTGTCGGTCCAACACTTTGCTCCAGAGAGAGACATCTCAGTAGTCAATGGATGCATTTATTTGAAATGTGATGTGGATTATTCATGGTGCCCAGAGGATGAATGAAGAAATGTTTCTGGTGATCTCCTAACCTGTCCCCTTTCACCACCTTGTATACAATAAAAAAAAAAATCATATTCTTAGACTCAAGGAATGTTTGTGAATGGTGACAAACCCATAATAGTCCTTGTGAAGACTAATGTAATGAACAGTGTACATACGAATGAAGATGTGAAGGGGATCAGTGATGTACTTAAATTTGTTGAATTACTGAATTTGCAGTGGACATATCTGTACATTTACTCTAATGTCAATAGGAAAGAAGGTCAATACAACCACATTTCAAAGACAGTGGAACCTGGAACATTTAACATTCAATTTGCAGTGTTTCACAAACTCTGTTAGATCTGGCTGCTATAAAGTGCCCTACGGACAACAAACTGTTCCTTCGTCCTCTCACTCCCTCCCTCCTTTTTCTCTTCAGCCCACCTTTTTTTCCCTTCCATCATCTCATCCATGAAATCACAGCACTCATTGAAGCATTAAATGCATTTCACTCCTTTGCCCCTTGTCTTCCTCTTTCCCTTCCTATATTTATCTTCCTCTAAAGCCCCTGTTCCTCATCTGCACCATCATCTGCCCTGTGTACACAATTTACAGACTTCCCCCATCAGACCAAACATACAGTACAACCAAACTTTACTCACCATGTCGTGAGACGTGTTTATATAACTCACATTTACTCTTCTGTTAAAGTTTAATCTAATTACATGTAATATGCAGTCTTCTCTTTCTTGCAACTATTTCTTCCCCCTGCTCCCTGTTGCATTTTACAATTAAGTTAAATGTCATTTCAGCCTAAATGGAAAGTTCTGATTTTTTTTTAAATTACTTTAGTACCTTCTACTTTCTCTGTAATTTGAATTATTTAACCTATTCACTTCAAATGGTATAAACATTACATTACATTAAAAATGTTGTTTTTAAGCAACAAAGTTAGCAGAGTGGCCTGTGTGTGTACCATTAGGAAGTTTTCAGAACTGGCACTGCAAAAGATGATAACGCAAAAAAGTGAGGATGATCATGTATTGAGCATGAAAGTTAATTCTTTATTTGGTCATTTGACAACAGATGGTTATATCAACGATACCTCCAAATAAAATGACAAAATATATCATTTATTCACTAGAATGACAAAGTAGTGTAGTGTTTTCTGATCTGCTGTCAAAATACTAAAGCTGATGATACACGGAGCAACTTTTAGAGCAATCGTGCAGGGCAACGTTGCCGTCAATGGTAATGAGTAAAGATTACCGCTGTAATCCCAACATAGTCGGACTTGCCACTAGCAAGATTGCCCAGCAACATTGCTCAAAAAGTTGCCCTGTGTATCATCAGCTTTAGCGTCATAATTCAACACACTTTTGGAAACCTTGTAGCGTCATTTATGAACACTGTAAGCCAGTGTAGGCTGTAGACAACAGAAAAGTCCAAGTAAGGACCGGGGTGAATGGATGTGAAAAAAAACAAATCAACATTGATATGTAACTGGTCATTTTCATATTTATTGTTGCTAACTTGATGGCGGAGCCCTACACATCCAAATATGATGCTAAAGGAGTTAAAAAGCAACACCAAGGGGTCTTGACCAAGTGTTGATATGTGACGAGTGAAAATGTGTTGGTCTATACGGTCATGTGATGACTAAAATATCCCCATGACAATTGAGCAACTCCATGTACTGAGGAAGGCCACAAGAACACATGACTTGGACTTTGTATTCAGAAGGTTTTGACTATTTAAGATTTTACTTTCATCCTCAATTCATCACCTTCATTTTTTTTGACTTCATCATTTTCTTGACTTTTTTTCAAGTCAAGAAGATTTTGAATTTTTCATTTTCAAGCAACTCTGATGATTTTCACAGCCTTCTGAAATGAACCAACTGCTGCATTGAAGGCAGAAAATCAATTTTAGATTATAATTTAAGAACGTAAGGAGTGGGGTTCTCTGAGTGTTATCTAGGAAGGAAAAAGAAACGTCTTTCAGAAACTCCACTGTCTTGTTGTTTTCTGGTCCATTAAAATCTTCAAAGCTTTCCTCTTACCTGAGTGAAGAAACTAGGAACAAACAGTTACTGTTCAGGGTTGCCTTCCTTTAAACTTGCTTCAGTCTGGATATTTTATTCATGAGAGTGCTCTAACACACTCCTTGCACTCACCTGTCTGTGTTTGTGCATTTAGTGCAGGGCTTGATCAGATTTTAGATTGGACCACCAGACTTATTTATTGATCTGTCCTCCCTCTGCCTTTTATTTATTACTTCCAGCTGTTCCTTAAGATTCAATGAATGGAGCCTGAACACAAACTCAGAGTGCTCAAAGAGTAGGTGTTGGATGCAATCAGGTAGTCTCAGACAATAAGTTTAAAGCAGTATTACTTTCTAACTTACTAATGGCAAACATTGTTTGGAAAATTTTATTCTGGTGCTGGGTATAGATGAGAAGAACACGTGATCGGTATGCAAAAACAGATAACTTCGATTTTAAATAGCAATACAACTGCTCTTCTTTGGGATCATTTGGTATTAAGGGCTGAACCTCTCCCATTCCCTAGCAAGCCTTTATTCCTCTTGCCTCTAACTTTGTCTTTTTGAAAACCCAAAACATGCAAGGAGAAAATTTCTGCCCCATTACCACATCCTTTAATTGGACAACTTATTTTAACCAAGATAAATACAACTATTGTTAGCATTAAAAGAGTACTCCGCCAAGCATTGGTATAACATTATTGGATTCACAATGGACAGCTTTTTAAAGTGTATTTGAGGCAGCAGAACCAGAGAGTCTTGATTCCACAATCTTTTTCCTTGTTACCCATAATGCAACTCAACCACCTAGAGTTTGGCTGGATATTTGGGTGTGTTGTAGTAGCGGTCAATTTAGCATGAAGCTGGTAGCCTCATGCAGAGATGAGGAGTGATCTCCAGATGTCGGGTAAGCTTACGCACTCAGATTTTCATTTTCAGACTTGTAGTCTTCAGCAAACAAGTAAATTACTCCCTCTGGAGTTCCCCTGTTTAAAAAAAAAAAAAAAAAAACAAAAAACAAAAAACCCCAACCACACAGTCCCATCCATTGTGTTTTGTCAGATTTTATTTTTTGATTGCAGCACAGACGGGTGTCTGAAAGGTGCTACATAAACTTTGCTTGCTCATCCACTAGAACACTGTGAAAGCCACATAGGAGCTGTAATTGTGGAGTGCAGTCAAAAACACACAATAACAAGCCAACCAAGTAAAGGTCCGTGTCTAAAGCGCCAGCGTCTTTTCTATTCATGCCAATGGAAGCGCCGCATTTTTCCAAGCTAGTAAAGACGAGGTACTGAGCGTCTTTTCCGCGCTGGGCACTGAGTGTTTTTTTTCCCTGGTTGCTGAGTTGAAAAGTGTTCAACTTTGGGGAAAAACGCTGCACTCGCCAATGTCACTTTTTACCTAGTGCAGGAGGGGCGGGACAAACACCGCACCAAGCAGATCCGATCTTGAACGAAACAATGTGCCTCCTCGCCGAGGGGTTTCCTTGCCTGCAAAATCTCATAAATCCACGTATAGAGAGTCTGTGCTCATGTTTCAGGCTTCTCTTCATGCAGCGTAAAGGCCAGAGCAACCAGGGTCTAAACCAAGGGGGAACCTGGAAAAAGGAGGGAAACAATTAGCCAGGCTCAGCCTTACTGCATTAAAATACATTTAAAACCATGTATCAACTCACCACTTCTGAGATGGGTCATGAAGATACATCAATGGTCACAGGGCAGGAGAAAAGGAGGTTCCTAACAGTGTCAAAGTGCAGGTAAGCAACAAACTGTTAAGGGAAAATAGATAGACCTGGGGACAAACACCAACCACAGCAGGGACAGATCAAGCGAACACAGGTGTCTTATACCCTCACCGAAAGGATTATTAGGAACACCTGTTCAATTTCTCATTAATGCAATTATCTAATCAACCAATCACATGGCAGTTGCTTCAATGCATTTAGGGGTGTGGTCCTGGTCAAGACAATGTCCTGAACTCCAAACTGAATGTCAGAATGGGAAAGAAAGGTGATTTAAGCAATTTTGAGCGCGGCATGGTTGTTGGTGCCAGACGGGCCGGTCTGAGTATTTCACTATCTGCTCAGTTACTGGGATTTTCACGCACAACCATTTCTAGGGTTTACAAAGAATGGTGTGAAAAGGGAAAAACATCCAGTATGCGGCAGTTCTGTGGGCGAAAATGCCTTGTTGATGCTAGAGGTCAGAGGAGAATGGGCCGACTGATTCAAGCCGATAGAAGAGCAACTTTGACTGAAATAACCGCTCGTTACAACCGAGGTATGCAGCAAAGCATTTGTGAAGCTACAACACGCACAACCTTGAAGCGGATGGGCTACAACAGCAGAAGAACCTACCGGGTACCATTCATCTCCACTACAAATAGGAAAAAGAGGCTACAATTTGCAAGAGCTCACCAAAATTGGACAGTTGAAGACTGGAAAAATGTTGCCTGGTCTGATGAGTCTCGATTTCTGTTGAGACATTCAGATGGTAGAGTCAGAATTTGGCGTAAACAGAATGAGAACATGGATCCATCATGCCTTGTTACCACTGTGCAGGCTGCTGGTGGTGGTGTAATGGTGTGGGGGATGTTTTCTTGGCACACTTTAGGCCCCTTAGTGCCAATTGGGCATCGTTTAAATGCCACGGCCTACCTGAGCATTGTTTCTGACCATGTCCATCCCTTTATGGCCACCATGTACCCATCCTCTGATGGCTACTTCCAGCAGGATAATGCACCATGTCACAAAGCTCGAATCATTTCAAATTGGTTTCTTGAACATGACAATGAGTTCACTGTACTAAAATGGCCCCCACAGTCACCAGATCCCAACCCAATAGAGCATCTTTGGGATGTGGTGGAACGGGAGCTTCGTGCCCTGGATGTGCATCCCACAAATCTCCATCAACTGCAAGATGCTATCCATCAATATGGGCCAACATTTCTAAAGAATGCTTTCAGCACCTTGTTGAATCAATGCCACGTAGAATTAAGGCAGTTCTGAAAAGGGGTCAAACACAGTATTAGTATGGTGTTCCTAATAATCCTTTAGGTGAGTGTATAGCCTAAGCCTAATAAGGAAGTTGGCAAGGAGGGGAGGAGTTAAATCAAGGCTGCATTCAACACCACCACACCTTAACTTCCATCCATCCATCCATCGTCAACCACTTATCCTGCATACAGGGTCACGGGGGGCTGGAGCCAATCTCAGCTTGACATCAGGTTAAAGGTGGGGTGCACACTGGATAGGTCGCCAGTCCGTCACAGGGCCACATACAAACAACCACTCACACTCACATCCGCACCTAAGGACAATTTTGGAGACACCAATTCACCTGGAGAGTAAAGTAAGTAAAACACTAGGTTTTCAAAAGAAAACAGTTAAATAATCACATTAATTATGTTAGAGACATGAATTGAAACCCTAGACTCAGTCTGATATTTTAGAAAATATGTTTATTATATATAATGAATAACTGAAAATTAAAAAGGGATAAGTTGGCTGGCCCTCAGTGGACCTGAAAGTTGCCCACACGCATCTTAATGTCTTTCACACTCAAACAGAATTAGAAAGTGTGCTTGAAAATACACAGAAAAAATAAACACACTAATACTTACTGTGTCACATTAACATAATAAAATAATGAATTCACGTTACTTATTGCAGATTATTTTGAAATAAAAACTGTGTTCTTACGTTGTTTTTAATTTTCGTTCAGACTGGCAGACAGTTTGTCTCAAAACAATTTGTGTAAAATGCTAATCCACAAGATAGAATTGAGATCCACAAATGTCTTTTCAAAATACAAATAAAAACTGGCTTCACAAATACATCTTTGAAAGTTGTAAATGTTAGGAAAATATTCACCTGTTTTTTTATTCATGGGATTTGTTTGTGAATTTGCAATGTCATTTTATATTTGCAAAATATGAGTTTAGAAATGTGAATGAGAGTGTGAGTTTACAAATCTTTCTTTTGTATTGCTGCAAGGCGTTTTATATTTACAGATTACACATTTACACACGGATTGTTGTGTTGTTAACAAATAATATTGAGACAAATCTATCTCCGTATTACAGGGCTCTTCGATTCAAACTCAGGACCTTCTTCCTGTGAAGCCACAGTGCGGAATTAAAGCAATCTGCTGCTGTCATGTTGACATAGTTTTATGATAGTTAGTTTTGTTTTCAACCTCCCTCAGTCTGCATAATGCCAACTGGGGACACACACTCCTTTCAACAACATCCTCCTTCACATTCACACTTGTTAGACTTCATGCACACTGCCCAGGTCCAAATACAGCATTGTACTGTTGGCCACTGAGCTGCTCCACTTAAGTAGTTGGCAGTTGAGCTGCTTCGTTCAAAGGCCAGTGAAGAGGAGCTGCTGAAGGAGGAGGAGGTGTTACTCATTCATTCTCCAGCTGGTCCTGTGAACCCTGCTGCTTGGGGAATTTTATTTTCACATCTAGCTGGGCCTGAGGAGCCAGTCTGTGCAAGAATGACTGATTAGCCTGATCTTGACACTTTTGGATGTACTGAAATTTATGGTACCCATGGGTGTCCACTTTTCAGGAAACATCATTGCAGTGATGTGATCTAATGTTTCCCCTTGTACACAAGACATCAAAACTAAATAAGCAGATTACCATGAAATTGAAAATTTCGTGAGTACTTCATGATTAATAGAGCTCAAACCTTTTCCATTTTTGGATAAGATTATGGACAGACCACAAGGGGTAATCAGGAGGACCTTCGAAAGATCCAATTAGGACAGTACCATTTTCGGGTGGTCCTGTGGGCGAACAATAATGAGCCACACCCACACATCAGTTTGGTCGCAAGCAAATCTACAGTGTCGGGAAATTGCATATTTTTCTTCTTGTTTTTTTAATGGTATTTTGTGTAGCCACAGCAGAGTTGGTGCAGTGATGATTCGAAAAAGCAGGAGAAAGCAGAGAGAAAGGTTAGCCAAGTTGTGGCTATAAACAGAGTTTATAAATTCTTCCAGAACCTGGAACATTTTAATGAGTTTGATTTATTGTCGCCTTCAAAACCTTTTACTAATTGATGTGGGCCTCTCTACATTAGGCTGAAAGTGAGAACTGCTCCGCCCCTGTCCAACACCAACATCAAACTCCAAATTTGGAAACATCTACAGTAGAGTTCCACAGACTTTGAGAATACATGCCAAGGAACATTGAAGCTGCTCTTCATACTTGGGAAGTAATGAACATTACAGCCTTTAGGGGATATTAGGAGGCCTTTCAGCTTTGTTCTTTTAGTATTTTCATCTGCAATTGTATTATTTTCATACTGTGTGCAATACAAAATATTTAACATTGTACTGATGAACTCATTCCCTCATCGCTGCCATCCAAAAATTTGAAGAACACTAATGGAATGGATAGTGTGGTTACACCGGGAAGCTCCTGGCTGAGGCGCAGCAGGGAGCAAGAACAGTTCTCAGTAAATCTTTCCTGCACAATCAAGGCAGGAACTGTCTGTTTATTTGTATTCCTCCTGCAGACCAGACAAAGCTTTATGGTTTAATCATACAATTCCACATTTCCACTGCTGATGTTGCACTGTTAATGGAGGACAGATGCATTTTGGGGAATGTCATCTGCCAGCTGTGCTTTGCTTTGCTGAAGATGAAGCCTTGATTTGAAGTCATTACAAGATTCTGTGGCCATTAGATTTGATGGAGCCCTGAATGGTTCGACTTAATAGAAAACAAAAACTCACTGGTGGAGGGAATATGGAGAAATCTCTTGGTGTTTTCCTCCAATACACAGCAAAGCTCTCATTAACTCCAGGTTTATAGAAATGTTTCGTAAACCCCAGGTTCAGGGCCCACGTACAATATTGACAAAAATAAATGAATCACTGCTGTTTTCATTTTAAAGTATCTGTTCTTATTTTTTCAGCAAATTGGTTCTTCTCTTGGAAGTGTCACTGTCATCACACATATCTGTTTAATACCCCCACCTACACACCTGACTCAGCTTGATAAGATATTGATTTGATATTTATTAAAACTTCCAGGCACCTCAGTGCTGTGGGGAAACAACATGCAATAAATACTGAAGATAACAGAATACAAAAGAAAAGACAGTTTTATGATTTATGTGTTGAATGGTTTGAATTGATAAATAGATAGAGATTATATATTGTGGGTACACTGTCAATTTAATATCTGTTAAATGGGCAATCCACTTATTTCACACATTCAGATCATTTTACTTGTCATGGGAAACACCACACAAGTAGTAAGTTGCTTGGATAAAAGTGTTGGTCAAATTACACCATGTAATGGGCTCAACCTGGAGAATAGCTAATCTGTCTACCGAAGTGAATTGAGATTTGTGACTGGATGTAAAGCATCTACACACCATTGTACCATGTACAAAATGACAAACTGGCCCTCACTATCAGTGAGGAGGAACATACATTGGCTTACTTTAGTTTACAAGTCTATGCTGGATGTGCTCCCCTCTTATCTTTGCACATATGTCACGCAACATCAGTTCCTATAATTTGCTCTCTGGTAACATGTATTTGTTATCTGTACCTCATGAAATTCCCATTACAGGTCCGTACAGAGCTCAGTAAGAGGGCCTTTAGTTATGCTGCTCCATCCACCTGAAACACATTGAAGTTGAGAAATCTGATCTCTTTTGGTGAATTTAAACACAGCATGAAAGACTTGGAAGTAGATGGTATAAATTGTTGTCACTGCTTTTAAAATAACTAACTCCTTTAAATCTACGGTATGCACAAAT